GTGTGTGTGTGTGTGTGTGTGTGTGTGAGTGAGTGTGTGTGTCGATGGTGTCCGGTGGTGACAGGATGTGACAGTTGTGTGAGTGTGTGTGTGTGTGTATGTGTGTGTGTATGTGTATGTGTGTGTGTGTGTGTGTGTATGTGTGTGTGTGTGTGTTGCAGCTTTGCCCAATTCACCAGTGGAAAATTGCACAGCAGCAGAGATGAGTGTGGCGTCTTCCTCTGCTCACTAATGTGTGAAGCCCACGTTCCTCAGAAGGTCTCTGCCTGCGGCCTGATAAATGACTGTGGTAAATCCCCTACATACAGCAGCGAGACGTGCGTTATATTGTGCTGCTGGTGCGTTTAAATAGAACAATCTCAACATCCCCCTACAAACAGCTCCATGCGTTCATGAGCACAGGATGTTGTGGGACGGTGTTTGTGATGGTATATATATAAATATAGGAAGGCTTTTTTTGCTCACCAGAGCTGCATTTATTATATTATAATATTATAATTTCAAACAGCTGTTTTCTATGTGAATATCTGTTAAACTGTAATGTATTTCTGTGATGTGCAGCTGTATTTTCAGCATCATTACTCCAGTCTTCAGTGTCACATGATCTTCAGAAATCATTCTAATATGCTGATTTGCTGCTCAAGAAACATTTCTGATTACTATCAATGTTGGAAACATTAATATTTTTGTGGAAACTGTGATACATTTAATTTTTCAGGATTCACAGATGAACAGAAAGTTCAAAAGAACAGCATTTATTTCAAATAGAAATCTTCTGTAACATTATAAATGTCTTTACTTTTGATCATTTTAATGTGTCCTTGGTGGATAAAAGTATTAATTTCTTAAAAAAAAACTCTTAAATATATTTAATATGTTTTATTATATTACTAATTATTATTTTTGTATATTAAGACCAGTATATGTAATTGAAAACCACGCGTCCTTTTAACACAGACTGTTTTCATTTAGACGTGGCGTATTAGAGCAGAAGTAAATATTAATGAATGTTAATATGAATATTAGAGCACATCTGTTTCACATTTTTCATTTTACACGGGATGAAAAGTTCATCTTTAGTAATTTTACATATTGTTTCTGGTAGCAGAAACCTCCCATATGAATGAATTGTGTCGAGTGTGTGGATCTGGTTCTCCAAACACAAAGCAAACCGGCAGAGGAAATCATATTTGTGATAAAATAATTGCTTGGTGAAATTTATACTGTAGGTACCTAGTGGCATTTTATTACTGTTATTGTTTTTATGCTGCGGTTTATCACCGTTTCACACATTAAATCTTGTTTTATGAGCGGATTTGTGTTTCGCGTTAAATCATGTGATTGATCCGAGTGTTGGTTCTCGTCTTCCTCCAGGTTCAGGATGAAGGGTGGAGGTTTGGCAGGGAGCTGCAGCCCCTGCTAGATTCCCCGCCTCACCTTCATCATCATCATCATCATCATGGCCAGTCACCTGGAGCTGCTGACGGAGCTGCAGCAGCTGGATAAGGTGCCCAGTCTGGAACGGCTCAGAGCCGCGCAGAAGCGTCGCACGCAGCAGCTCAAGCGATGGGCCGTCTACGAGAAAGAAATGCAGAACAAGAAGCGCAAGGGCGACAAACGCCGCGGCTACTGGAACCTGCGGGATAACCGCAAAAGGGTTTCGTTTGCGGCGAGCATCGCTCTGCTGGAGGCCTCGTCGAGGAACGATCCGGATGAAGGTGAGGCCGTGTAATCTAGGGTTTTTAGTAGGGATGCACGATATTGGATTTTTGCCGATATCCGATATGCCGATATTTTCCACCTCATTTTGGTCGATACCGATACCGATATATTTCCTTCTGTTTGGAAACAACACCAAGTCTCTCCTGTGCAGAAATTATAAGCAAAATATTTGTAATTTTGGTTAGTTTTTAACAAGAACTTATTTGTTAGAATTAAATAAACAATTAGGAAGGTTTTTTGACAGTACATTGAAGCTTCGAAAATAACTATAAATAAACTATATATCAATCTCTGCATTTTTTCCCCATAAAATGTAACATTTGTAGATGGTCTAAAGCAAAAGAGTTGCAAAAATTCTGAAAATATTTTAGAGCTTATGATTTGTTTAAAAAATAAAACATATTACACATTAATGAATAAATCAGTATATGTAAAATTATTTAATTTACAAGTGTCATGTTTGTGATTTTTTTTCATGTAAGCTATAGCTTCTGACCTTTAAATCAAAACGTACTCATTATTTTATGACATCAATTACTGCTTTATTTAATCAGAAACACAGTCTAAATGTTATTTGTATTTTACTTTTAATTTAATTAGAAGTAGGCCAACAGCGCCCCCTACAGATTAAAACTCCTTACCCAACAGGCGTTAGGACTCTGCACGTTTAATCTATCATACAACGAACGCATCATTCTGTACGTGCTTTCACAGATTAAAGCAGCGATCCAAAAGAGTGAATCTAATCATCATTCAGGCAAAACTTTGCTTCAAGAATGAGCCACACTGCTGACGTGATCTAATCAGTCACTAGCACACCCTGAGCACATGTGAGTTAACTTATTCCTCTTATCGGCAAGACATATCGGCATAATTTTTCATATCGGGCCAATGCCGATATTTACATTTAAAGCCATTATCGGCTAATTCCGATATCAGTCCGATAATATCGTGCATCCCTAGTTTATAGTGTTCTGTCCCTGAAAAGCCTGACTGGAGCAGTCGTATAGTGATTATTTTCACCAGCAGAGGGCGTTGTGAGCTGCACTGCTATTGTAGTTATGAAAAATTGAACCTGATCGAGAGAAGAGCGCTATTATTGTCAATTATTAAAAGAAACACCATCGTCGGTTTCAAGGTGGTCACATACTAGCTAAATTAAATGAACTATTACTAGTGCTGGGTGATATGCCAAAAAATAAAATCTTGAATTATCACGACATTTGTGACCCTGGAGCACCAAAGCAGTGTTAAGTCGCTGGGGTATATTTGTAGCAATAGCCAACAATACATTGTATGGGTCAAAATTATACATTTTTCTTTTATGCCAAAAATCATTAGGATATTAAAGGAACACTCCACTTTTTTTTAAAATAGGCTTATTTTCCAACTCCCCTAGAGTTAAACAGTTGAGTTTTACCGTTTTCGAATCCATTCAGCCGATCTCCGGGTCTGGCGGTAGCACTTTTAGCTGCAGCTTAGCATAGATCATTGAATCTGATTAGACCGTTAGCATCTCGCTCAAAAATGACCAAAGAGTTTCTATATTTTTCCTATTTAAAACTGCAGCAGGCGCAATGATATTACGCAGCGCCTGAAAATAGGCTAACTTCCGTCAACATAACCAACGTGACCACCTGCTTGCACAGGGAGCGTGCTGGGGGCTATTTCCAGGCGCTGCGTAATATCATTGCGCCTGCTGCACCCACGGTACGGCAGCAAAGTTCCTTGATTATTACGCCGGAATAGTAGTATAGTTGAGAGTATAGTTCCTATCCATAT